AACTCTGATTTCACTCTGATTTAGCTCTGGTCGGGGACAGATCCGAATCAAAGTTAAATCGGAGTTCAGACCAGGGTCAAATCAGAGTTTCGAGAAAATCAAAGATGAAACAGAGTTCAGGGCCAGAGTTGAATCAGAGCTGGATCAGAGTATTATTAGATCTAACTTTTGAAGCTAGCTTGCCTCCCCCCATCGTGGAAAGGAACTCAATCCGTGAAGCTCTTGCAATTTGTCTCAAAAGAATGTGCGCGGACCTAAACGAAAATAACTTTTTGGAGACGACCCGCCCTCAATCCGTAAAACTCTTGAAATGTTGAAGATCACTGTGCACGGCACTCAAACGAAAACCACATGTTGAAAACGGGCCGCCCTCAATCCGTGAAACTCTTGCATTGGTTTACAACGAATGTGCGCGGCACTAAGGCGAGAACCACATGTTTTAAACGGCCCGCCCTCAGCCCGTGAAACTCTTGCAATGGCTTACAAACAACGTGCGCGGCGCTGACGCGAGAACCACATTTTGAAAACTGCCCGCCCTCAATCCCTGAAGCTCTTGCGTGTTGTTTTTAATGCATGGGCGCGGCGCTGAAGCAAGAAACACGTTCTGAACACGACCCGCCCTCAATCCGTGAAACTCCTGCAAGTCTTCAAGAACACTGTCCGCGGCGCTGAAGCGAGAACCACATTGTCAAACCGGCCAACCCTGCACCAGTGCAGTTGAAAAGTTTGAAACCAAATGTGCGTGGCGCTAAGACGAGAACCACCTTTTGAAAACCAACCGCCATCCATCTGAAGCTGCTATCACTGCTTGAGCAGTTTAAGCATCAAGTTCATATAAATGGTGAGGAATTCTCAAGCAAAACGCCCGGTAAGCCCTTTCGGCCGGCCTCGGGGTGCGACAGGGAGGAGTTATCCATAAGAAAAAAGGCATGAAGGGGGAGGACGAGGAGGAGGACGAGGAAGGGGAGGAGGAGGAGGAGGAGGAGGAGGAGGAGTGAGAAGGAGGAGCAGGAGAAGGAGGAGGAGGAAGAAAGGGCTGCGACGGCACGACACTTCAGCCAACAGGTGGCAGGTAATTAACAGGAAGAGGAGGGAGGAGGAGGAGGAGGAGGAGGAGGAGGAGGAGGAAGAAGAGGCAGGAGGGAGAGGAGGAGGAGGAGGAGGAGGAGGGAGAAGAGGAGGAGGAGGAAGATGAGGAGGACGAGGAGGAAGAGGAGGAGGATGGAGGAGGAGGGAGGAGGAGAAGGAGGAAGAGGTTCAGTGCAAACCCAAGACTCATCAACGATGCTGGAATGATCCCTCCAAGATCCATCTTCACAAGCCTCTACAAAGGTTCATTTCGACTGAATGAATTCCCGCGGGATCATCCCTGTGAAAATCGAGGAGCAGGAGGCGGAGGAGGAGGAGCCGAAGCATCCGGACGAGGGGGAGGCGGAGGAGGGCGACCTGGTGAGGTTCGCGCCGCCACCCGAACCAACCAAAGGAGGAAGAGATGCACCGCGCGCTCGATGCAGAGGGGGCGAAGGGGCCAGAGCCGCGGCGCCCTCTCCGCCTCGCCGCGGCCTCCGAGGCCCACTTGGCGCCTGGGCCACAGCCAGTACGGCGGCCAAACAGCACAGTCCTGCCCTAAATGTGCGCCCTCGCCGGACCAAACTGCCCGAAACGCGGGGGCGGCAAAGCTCGGCGACTCCGGAGGGTCTGGTCTGCAACCGGCCGGGGGGCGGGCGGGGACCTCGCTGGAGCTCTCCGCCGCGCCCCGAGGAGGCGCGACGAGGACAATGTCGTGCCCCCCCCAGGCCCCAATGGCACCGATCGCAAACCACACCCCGACGTTTTGGAGGCCCCGAAGTGGGCACGGAACACATGGGTACAGTGCCCAACAACAAGTGTTGTCCCAAACCAACAGCGCCCGCCGTTGGGCAAGCGGCCTTCTGTCTCAAGCAGACACAGGCCGCGGCAGCACGAACAGCGAGTCCTGTTTAACACGAACAAGAGCTGCTGTGGAGCATTGTGCCCATTCTTTCCGTGCCCACTTCGCTCGTGCAGAGAAATATTGGCGGCGAGCGAGGGGGGGAAGTGAGAAGGGGCGGGGCTTCTCGGAAGGCTCGGAAGTTCCCCAGCCTTCTGAGAAGTTTTCTAAGCCTTCCCCGAAGACACAAAAAACTTCTCAGAAGGCGTGAGGGCTTCTGAGAAGTCCCGCCGCCTTCTGAGAAGGCCTTCTCCTTCTCACTTCCCCCCCTCGCTCGCCGCCGAAAGTGACCACACACACACCTTGCAGTCGCCAGAAACCTTGGCGCACGAGCGCCCGCCACCCCCGGCCTGCCTGCGCGGAGCGGCCCCGGGAGGGAGCGCGCCTCGCCGCCAGGGGCCCCGGAGTCTGCTGCCGCCGAGTGCCCCGAGCGGAGGCGGAGGCGAGGGAGGCGACGACCAGGAGCAGCGAGGGGCAGCGACAGGGAAGGGGGGGGGGGGCTGGCTCAGGGGGGAAACATCGGCTCGGAAGCGGCGGTACGGCGGGGGCATTGGATAAGGAACCGATGGATGAGGAATCTGAGGTCTCGAAGCCAGTGGAGCTCCGATCGTGGATCGGCCAGATATCGCCGCCGCCCTTGTCAGAGAAGGAAGCCCCCAGGGTCTGAAACCTGCTGGGCACATTCCTTGCCTAACCCCCCACCGTACAGCGCCGATGCGCAGATCGGCGACAAGCCCTAGATTAAAGGGGCCCTGGGACACACAAATAGATACAAACACAAATGAAAAGACTCCCCATATTTTCCCATATTTTCTGGGTTTCTGTCTCCCCCCCACTTCCCATATGTTCCCACATTTTCTGGGGAATCGAAGATGAAACTGTGTCTGTGCTTTTTGTTCCTCCTGACAGCTAGCGAAGCCGCACGCTCCTGGGGCGGCGGGAGCTGCCAGGCCCCCGCCGGAGATCCATGGGCGCTCGAGGGGTCGATGCGCCCGCCCCCCCTGAGCCTACAGGGCAGTTTTTCATACAAAGGTTATTCTTTTCTTAAAATCGGGGATGGACAGACCCCCCTTTAGTAAAACGTGGTTTGGTGAAAACGACTTCGGGCCCAAACCTGGCTGGCGCAAGCCTGGAAAATAACGGCCACGGCGCCCTCTCGAAAACCGAAAACGGACAATTCACTAATCGACGTGTCACTGTTGGGGGTTGTGTCCACCCCCGATAAAATAAAAAGCATGGGATTTTTAATACATGAACACATCGTCGTTACACATCGTTGGGATTTCTAATGCAGGATGAATGCATGAACAAATCTATGCATGAACCCATCGCTGCTTTTGAATACTGACTCCCTGCATGTTTCATACACGACCCGCACGCGGAGCATGCCTGAAAGACGGCACTGCATATCCCCTCCCAACGCTGCCCCTGGAGGGCACTCGGCGCGCGGACGCCCCAGCCTGCCCCGCCTGCGGAGCGCCGGAGCGTCCCTCCTAACGTTGCCCCGGGAGGGCAGACGCCCCAGCCTGCCCCGCCTGTAAGAGCGCAGGGGGGCGCCCCTGCGCCGGCCTCCTGCGCCACGAGCTCCGGGCCTCCCTGGGGGCAGGGCACGCGGCACTGTCTGCGTCGAGCCACCCCTCCGACACCCCCTCGGGGACGCAAGTGGAAGGGCGCCTGTCTACAGGGCAGTTTTTGATGCATCGGATTTATATATATATATATATATATATATATATATATATATGGCACGTGTGTGCCCAGGCTCATACAACAAGCTGAAGGGGCGTTTGAAGCAGGAGTGACATGCAACAGCGAAGTCGCACTCGAGCGCAAGTGGGGTTGCCACACCTTGCGATGTGTGTACCAGGAAGCCTCAGGAGGCCCGACTTGGATACCAGAAGAGGCTCCAGGAGGCCCCAGGATTGTGAGTGTTGTGTGTGATGTGTGCTTTGTGTGGTGCGTGCTTTTTGTGTGTTGTCGGTGTTATGTGTGTATGTTATGTTTGTCTAGCGTGTGATGTGTTGGGCGTGACTTGTGTCTCTGTGTGCATGTAGTTCTGAAGCCCCAGGAGGCCCCAGGAGGCCCCAGGCGGCCTCAGCAGGCCCAGGAGAACTCCAGGAGGCTCCGAGGCGGGGTCTGGGGTACCAGAAGGTCCAGAAAGCCCCAGGAGGCCCCAGGAGGTTCCAGGAGGCCCCCAGGAGGCTCCGAGGAGGGGTCTGGAGCTCGATTTTGGGAGGATGTCTCAGGCGAAACCGCCATTCTCTGAGAATCGGGGTCAAAATTATTGAAATTACCATGTGTTTTTGAAGGTTTTATGTTAACATGTTGAAATTCCAATGTGTTTTTGGACCCTGACGTCACGATCTGCGTGAGGGGTGCCACCGATTTTCAGAATTTCGAGGATGTCCCGAGCGAAACGGCCAGAAAAATCGCGAACGACGTGACGCATTAATCGCCTCTGAGCTCTACTCCCTCGGAGAGGTGCGTATGAGAACATATATATATATATATATATATATATATATATATATATATATGGTATGTTTCATACATAATGAATGCATGAGCAAATTTATGCATCAACTCATCGTTGTTTTTAATACTAGATCCCTGCATTTTTAATACATGATCCACGCGCGGAGCATGTGTTAAAAACGGCACTGTACGCGACGAGTGCCCGATGTGCGTCAGTCTGATAGGAGTGTGGGCCAGGGGGGCCGGGAGGAGGAGGGAGGGACGGGCTGGCGGCGTGCAGACAGGGGCTGGCGCGAGAGGGTGGCCTTCCAAGCAGGCAGGGGCCTTCTGAGGAGGGCCTGAGCGCTCCCCGGACGGCTCCTCTTGAAGGCGGGACGGCGTCCAAAGATCGGGGCAGTGCGAGTTGAGATACGGGAAGCGCGCAACCGGTGACCAGACCCACCCCAGTGTCTACAGGGCCCCCCTGCGGAGTCCAACCACCAGAATCTAGAGGCCTCTTAGATGGGGTCCGAATAGATGGTTCGGAGAATCCTGCCACATCGACGATGCATCGACGATGCATCCGTGATGCATCGGCGACGTCGGCGGTGCATCGAAGACGCCAGCGCGGAGAACATCGGGCTCTACCTCGAGCCGCACCGCCGATGTTTCAGCGATGCGGCGGGATCCTCCAATCCCATCTGCTCGGACCCCACCTGGGAGGCTCAGAGAATCTCAACTGGCCCTCCGCTGAGCACCACTGCAAGAGAGCCCAGAATCGAATCGACAAGTCGGATCGGCGATCGAAATGACTCGGATCGGCGGAAATCGGCAGCCACGTCGGGTGACGTCGAATCGGCAGAACGTCGGCAAGCTAGTAGTGGGTCTCCGATAAGGCACCGGAGCCCAAATCGGAATCCGAGGCCGAATCGAAGCGGAATCGGAAGCCATCGAATCGAATCGGCTCGGAGGAATCGAAATGATCGATCGACCACTCTCTGTTGAGGTCATCCACCAGGGCCATCTTCGAAACATCAAACGCCCAGTGGATCCGAGGGAGGGAGGAGGAGGAGGAGGAGCAGGAATCGAAATGAGCCCGCCCCCCCGATGTTGAGGGGCCCGCGGGCGCCGGCGGCAACCGCGCCGCGCCCGCGGAGCCCGTCGGGGGGGGGATGCCAGCGGCTGGCCCCTCGGCCCGCACGGGGGCGCCTCCCGAACGCGCTCCGAGCTGCGTCCGGCCGTGGCAGCGACGACGACGACGACGACGACGTCGACGTCGACGACGACGACGACGACATCGACGAGGACGAGGACGACGACGACGAGCGCGGCGCTCGCGTCGCAGGGCTTGCTCCGACGGGGGTGAGGAGTGCGGCGCGCGCGGGCACTGGAGGTCGTCGCACGGGGGGGGGCCGCCCGAAGGCCAGCTGCCGGTGCCTCTCGGCGGCGAGCGAGGGGGGGGGGCGAGAATGGGCGGGCCTCATGCGAAGGCTCGGGTGTCCCCATGCCTTCCGAGAGAAGTTTCCTCTAAGCCGTCCCCGAAGACAAAGACAACATCCTCAGGAGGCGCGAGGGCTCCTGAGAGAAGTCCCGCCGCCTTCTGAGAGGGGCTTCTCCCTCGCCCTTCCCTCGGGGATGGACAGACCTCCCTTCTAAAACGTGGTTTAGTGAAAACGACCTCGGGCCCAAACCTGGCGGGCGCAAGCCTGGAAAATAACGGCCGCGGCGCCCTCTCGAGAACCGAAAGCGGACAATTCACGAATCGACGCGTCAGGGTAGGAGGTCTGTCCACCCCCGATTCCCCCCCCTTCGCTCGCCGCCGAGCCTCAACTCGCCCTCCCCCGAAAGGCAGAAAAAGGGCGCGCGCGACGAGCAGGGCGGCAAAGTGTCGTCCACGCGGTGCGCCGGGTTTTGCGGGCTGCGTCGGCTCCCGGGCGCCTCGCGGTGGGGGCGAGACGCGGGTGCACCTTTCGTGGGCTTCTCTCCTATAACTAGGGAGCCCAAGAAGGACGTACGCGCCCAACTATGTACATGAACACGGCCCCTCGATCCGCGAGACCGGCCGCGTGATACAAACATTGGCGCAATGCGTACTCTCGAAACCAGCGTGGATTCACGTACGTGTACGTCCTTCTTTCGCTCCGGAATAACCCTCGATCCACCACCCCACCTGGCGTCGAGAAGAAGCGGGTCTCACGCGCGATGGCACAGCGACCTTGCGCCGCGGCTCATGCGGGCCGCCAGCGTGGCACACCGAGCGGAGAAGAGGGCGCATATACGCGCGACCTTCCGCGGGAAGCTTACGTGCGAATGTCGGCGCAATGAGCCGCGTGTTCTTCCATCGCTCATCTGCCGACCCCATATTTCCAAACGCCCATAGGCTTGGCATGGTCTGAGCATGGGCTGGCCTCCCGATGTCGGGCTCCCATCGCTCCTCTGCCAACGAAGGCCTCACGGGCGCCCGCGTCGTTCGAACTCGCAGGGTCTGGGACTGCAGCCGGGCTGGCCATCCACAATTGGGGCACGTCGGCGACGCCGGAAGCGAACAGCGCCGAGAAAGCGCGGGGGGAGACGACGAAGGCAAACGGCGCGCCCACGCACCGTGCCCTGCCGACGGAAGGGGGGGGGCGACGATAAGGGGGGACTGCCATCGGGGGGGGGGGGGGGGGGGGGAAACGTCGACCTGGAATCGGCGATACATCGCCGATGGCCCCCCGACCATGAATCCGCACGTTCCCGGGCAGGCTGGGGCGAATCATCGGGCACCTGTCGGCGATCAGTGGGCGATGCGGGGTCGACGCATCCCCCCCTGAGCCTATACCCCCCTATCGTTGCCTACGACGGGAGCGTGGGCACGAAAAAAAGCCCCCATGGCACTGCACTGCGGCGAGCAGCAACTGCCCCAGACCTGACCTTCCAAAGGCAGATGGGCACCCCATGCGCACAGCCATGCCCGGGCCGGGCCGAACAGGGTGCACGTACATGCCGAGGCCCAGGAGGGTCTGTGCACCGTCCCAAGGCTCAAGCTGAAGCTCCGCCACAAAAATATACACACATACGCCCTCCAATGGATTGCTCCTGGGCCTCAGGGAAGGGTGGCGGTGTATAAATGACCACTGAGAGCCAGCGACCTCATACACCGCCGCACTCCCCGAAAGTACCTGCAAAGTTCGTCGGAGGGTGTTTGTTTACATATTCGTGGCGTGGGAGCATCATCTGCCCGCTTCCTCCTTCGCATCCTGTGGGCTGCCTGGGGGCACTTCTCGGGAACTCCCAGCGTGCAGCCCGACCCGCAAGAGTCTGGTGGCACCCAGTGCTGCTGTCCCCCTCTTCTCCTGTCGCCATGCTTCCAAAGGGTTCCTCCTCCTCCTCCTTCTTTTCCTCCTCCTTTTCCTCCTCGGTGGACGCCCGAAATGGCTTCGATACGGAAAGTATAGGTGCGATACCCAACAGCAAATGGTGCCGCAGTGGTGCCCCAAACCGACAGCGGCCCCTGTTGGGCATGCGACCTGTTGTCTCAAATGGACGACGGCCGCGGCGACGCCGACAGCGAGCCCGGTTCAAAATGAACAAGAAACGCTGTCGATCTTCGTACCCAGGCTTTCCGCACAGTCGGACCCAAGCCAGAAGAGCATCCCTCAAGACCATGGGACCCTCCGTCGGCCAAAACACACAGAGCATCCAAGGGTACCCTCCCCAGGGTGCACAAGAACATCCAACAAACACGCACGAAGAACACGAGGGTACCCTCCCCGAACCGACCTCGATCTTGTACCTCGGTCCGACTGTACCTTAGTGGGCCCTGGAAACGACAAGGTCGTTTTGTTACCGGTTCCGTTTTGCCGTTTTTGTTGCCGGTTCCGACGCCGTTGTGTTACCGGTTCCGTCACCGTTTTTTGACCTGTTCCGGCTCCGGTTCCAGTCCTGGAGCTGTTTTTTTGCCGTTTCCGGTCGCTGTTTTTTTTGCCGTTTCCATTTTCAAACAAATATGTTGCTGGAAACGGTGAAAAAACGGCACTGCCGTTTCCGGGGCCCACAAATGACTGTACCCGTTTCGATCGTACGGGGCCTCCTCCGACACCTGGACCCTGGCCGGGCGTGGCGGAGGCGCGAACGAAGGCTACGAATCTGTCGCGCGCGGCTTCGCGCGCGGATGCGTCAGGTGCGAGGCGGAGATGCACCCAGATCCGCCGCCTGGGAACCGACGTCCTGGGGACCCAGCTGGCGGTGGACATGAATATATATATATATAATATATATAATATATATATATATATACATATATATATATATTGGCCCCAGGGGGGGCCCCAAATATATCCATATCCACCGCCTGTGGAGGTCCGCGGAAATCGCTCCTCCAAGCGGTGGTCGTGTCTGACTCCCCGCCTCGAGGGCTGTCTGCAGACCTGCGCTGGGGCGTGGCCCGCGCGCCCCGCTTTGGGGGCACGGGCTGTGCCCCGCCGAGGGCGCTGTGCACCACGCGACCCCAATCCCAACCCTGTGGACAGCAACGGCCTTGGGCCGCTGGCGGTCCGCCTTCCTGTTCCAGCCCTCACGCCTCCCCTCCTCACTACTCCGTCCTCGTGCCCTCCTCCCTCCCTCCTCCCCCCGTCCCGCGCTCGCTCCTCCATGCCTCGTTCCTCCCGCCCTTCGTCCTCCCGCCCCTCCCACCTCCCTCCTCCCCCCCTCTCGCCCCCCTCCTGCTTCCGACACCGAAGCCCTCGCCCTCGGGCGACGGGAGCCACGCCGCCTCCCCGGGCGGCGGCTGCCGAGGGCGCGGCTGCGCCGCCCGCGGTGCGGGCCGGCCTCCGCCTCGGCAGCGCCCTCCTCTGGCGGGCCCCCGCGCTGCACTGCGCCTCGCGGGGAGCCGCCTTGACCTTGGGAGCCCGGCCTCGCGCACTGCCTGGGCGAGGCTTAGTGCAGGGAGCCCACAAAGGACGTACGCGCCCAGCTATGTACATGAATACGGCCCCTCGATTCGCGAGACCAGCCGCGTTATACGAACATGTGTGAAATGCGTGCTCTCGAAACCCGCGTGGATTCATGTACATGTACGTCCTTCTTTCGCTCCTGATAATGGGGGGGTCACAAATGGGGGGGTCAGAAAAGGTCCCCTTTCGTGCCCCTTTCGGGCCCCTCCAGAGCCCCAGGGGGCTCCTTTAGGTACCATTCGGGTACCTTTCCGGACCACACTCGCCGCCCCCCCATTGATGATCCCCCGTTACGCAGCGCCCAAAATGCCGACAGTCAGCGCTGGCCGGGCAGAATCTTCCTCCGCGTGGGAGGCCCTCGGGCGGGAGCGACCCTGGAGAGCCGGCGCTGCCCCGGCGATGTCGCTAGCGCAACACAGGGATCAATACTAGACCGCAAGTGATCTTCAGGATGCCGATGCAACATATGAGTAATCGCAGTGGGGCAAAGAAGAACGTGAAGATGCTGGCTCGCATGAACGTAGCAAAACCTGCTTGCGAACGCAATGCGGAAATCGCAATTCTGAAGGGATCCTGCGATAGGGAAATCCACGGCGGCATATCGCAGACGCGTTCCGCGACACACCTGGGATATGTCAGCACCTTTCTCGAGCTACAACCACGCGCGCGCGCTTCGGGCGCGCGTGTGGTCTAATCGAGGGGGGCTCTCTTAGCGCCTGGTTGGGACGTTGGGACGTGTTTTTCTTCCACTTCAGCAGCGAATACTGCAAGGGACTTACCCTTAATCGGGCTTGCACCACGCGTTCTGCTTTCCCCATCTCCTTCTCCGTACTTCAGGAGGCAACTACTGGGAGGTCTTCGTCGGAAATATGGGGAATAATTCAACCCAATTGGGGGGCCACCGCGCCGGATTCGGCCGCGGATTAACCTGGATAAACACGAATAAAGCGGGATCGAGCGGGATTAAGCCGGATTGCGGACCAGGTCAGGATCAGACAGACTTTGACCTCCCAGGAGTTGCATCCGAACGGAGCCCTCTCTGGGACGCTCTGATGGGGCCTCCTGGAGCACTCTCGTGGCCAATCTTAGGTCGGGCATCCTACAGGCAGATGTTGGAGGAAAATTGAAAATTACCCTGGCGACGTACCCAACCCCTGCGCAATGCGGGGCATGAGTAGCTTGGGAGACTTTATACAGAGGTGATGACGTGACATGGGCGCATAGACTTCTGCGAGCGGCATTCGCGAGGCTCGCAGCCCCCCAGGGACGGCGAGGTCCCGCTCAGATCTGCATGGTGCCCCACTCCGCTGGACCCACCACGAACCTTCGAAAGGAGCGACGGTTTCGCAGATCGCAGCCCCCCAAGGACGGCGAGGTCCCGCTCAGATCTGCGAGGTGCCTCATTCCGCTGGATCCGCCAGCAGCCCTTGAAGTGGCGACGGTTTCGCAGATCGCAGCCCCCCAAGGACGGCGAGGTCTCGCTCAGATCTGCGGCGGCTACCCACTATACCTGGCCCCCAAAGAAGCCCTCGAAAGTGGCGACGGTTTCGCAGATCGCAGCCCCCCCAAGGATGGATGGCGAGGTCTACTTTGGATCTGCGGCGGCTACCCACTATGCTGCCCCTTCCTAGCAGCCCTCGAAAGTGGCGAAGGTTTCGCAAATCGCAGCCCCCCCCCAGGGATGGCGAGGTCTACTTTGGATCTGCGACGGCTAACTACCCACTATGCTGCCCCTCCCTAGCAGCCCTCCAAAGTGGCGACTGTTTCGCAGATCGCAGCCCCCGAGGCAAGATGCACACACAAGAGGTACCGCAGGCAAGATGCGCACACAAGAGGTACGCACAAGGCAAGAGGAGACACGAAGAAGGCGGTAGGAGGAGAAGGAAACGCGACCGCAGTGCTCTAGTCAAAACGAATACCCAATCAGGGCGGGATGGGAAACACTCAAAAATACATACAAAACTTGTTAAAATAACAGAAAAATCGCCCTTCGACTGTTTTGACTATTTTGGGGTATTCCTCCTGTCGTCGGACATGCCCGAGTCAAGGCCAACCTTGGGGCACCCTGGCCTCCGAAAAGAGCTGCCGAGCGCTCGCTCGGCGCTGGCCTGGGCGCCCCCCACGGAGTGCCCAGGCTGACTACCTACCAGACCACCCCAACCCAACCCGAAGACCCGAATTTGACCAGAATTTCGGGTTGGGGGGGGTACGGGTTCCATGTGTTTTTTCGATGTTCCCCGACCCCCCCCCCACTGGAAATCGAGGATCAATTTGGGCCTTCGGGTTGGGTTGGGGTGGTTTGGTGGGTGGTGACAGGCTGCTGGGCCAGGGCGCCGGAAGCCTCCTGCGGGACAGCTCAGTGTGCGGCAGGGCCCTCTGCAACGGACGGCTGCCGGAAGCCCGAGCCGCAGTGCAGCGGAAGGGACCCTTCGCCCGGCATGGCGATGGCCGCCTCCGCCACACCACGCAGGGCAGGCACGGGTCGGCCTCTGCTCCCCAGGGGAGCAGGTCGGCAGCTCTCGCGCGAGCCGGCGCTCGTCCCGGAACGACGAGAGGCCCATGGCACGGCTGTGCGGCCGAATGTGGCTCGTGGAAGCTGCGCGGTGGCTGGTCGCCGGGCCGACTCAATGCGTCCGGTGGAAAGGGGCGGGTGGCAGCGTGGGGACGCTGTCCAGGAGGGCATGTGTGGCAGCAACGCGTGAAGGCGACAGTGGTGGCGCCGATGGCAGTCTTCGTGCGCGCGCATTGTACTGCGAAGCGCCATGCTCCGGCCACAGGCCGCATCAAAACGCCCGTCTTCGGACAGCTTGATTTGGCGGACTTGTTCTGGTAACCACTCTTCCAATGTGCACCAGACCGCGTGGTATACCACCCGGAATCTATGGTCTGCGTTGTCCGTTTCAAGAACGAGCTATGCGAGGTGGCTTCGGCAGCAGACAGCGCGGGCCGCCGAAAACATCTTCTCGCGTCCGATGTGCTGCGGGCCCCAGGACACGGCGCACTCGTGAGCGCGGCGCCTCGTCGGGGAACTATTGGCCGTTGTTGCGGGTTCATGTTTAGGGGAACAAAAAGGGGCATAAACATAAAAACTCGGAGGTCCGCGCGGATTTCTCGGATCGGCGCTGGGGCCCCCCCGGCGCGCTCCGCGCGCCAGGGAGGGGGGTCCAGCGCCGATCCGACGAAATCCGCACGGACCTCCGAGTTTTTGTTATGTCTATGTCACCTTTCTGCTCCCCCCATATCTGGGGACGAAGGGCGCCACTTCCCACTTCCTGTTTTGAGGTCACCCCAGACTGGGTAGTCGAAGCCAATCTGGCGCCAATCTGGCAGGCCCAATCTGGCACACGGGGGCAATCTGGCGAGGGGGCCGACGCGAACCCAGTCTGGCGAAGAACCCAAATCCTCAAACATGGCCAGGCCAGATTGGCCCGTGGGGCCCCATCCAATCTGACAGTCTGGCCTTCGACTACCCAGTGTTGAGGTCACCCCAGACGCACCGAGCGCGCAGGGACTTCCGGGCAGGCCACTTCTGCTACGGGAGGGCACACGTGTGGGGATGGGCGGGGCCCGCTGACTCGTCCGACCTCGCATCCCTGGACCCGTCCTACCTCCTCCTCCTCCTCCTTCTCCTCCTCCTCCTCCCCCTCCTCCTCCTCCCTCCTCCTCTTCCTCCTCCTCCTCCTCCTCCTCCTGTTTTGAGGTCACCCCAGACGCACCGAGCGCGCAGAGACTTCCGGGCAGGCCACTTCTGCTACGGGAGGGCACACGTGTGGGGATGGGCGGGGCCCGGTGACTCGTCCGACCTCGCTCACTGGACCCGTCCTACCTCCCCCTCCTCCTCCTCTTCCTCCTCCTCTTCCTCCTCCTCTCCTCCTCCTCCTCCTCTTCCTCCTCCTCCTCCTCCTCTCCTCCTCCTCTTCCTCCTCCTCCTCCTCCTCCTCTCCTCCTCCTCCTTCCTCCTCCTCCTCCTCCTCCTCCTCCTCCTCCTCCTCCTCCTCCTCCTCCTCCTCCCTCCTCCTCCTCCTCCTCCTCCTCCCTCCTCCCCCTCCTCCCTCCTCCTCCTCCTCCTCCTCCTCCTCCTCCTCCTTTTCCCCCTCCCCCTCCTGCCCTCCGTCCTACCCTCCGTCCCAACAACGTTCCCCTCCCCCGATCCCTGTAGGGCCCAGCACAGCTGGCGCTGCCACGCCGGCCGCCGAAGCCAGAGGCCCTGGCCCACCAGCTGCGCCCCTCGGTCACGCCTGAGCTCGGCGAGCGAGGCGAGGGCAAAGGCTCACACGAGGTGGCAAAACGAAGCGTCAGCCTGCTTCGCTGGGGAAGCTCCGAGGGCAAGCGGAGCCGTCAAACATCGCGCGCTCGCATGACCCTTGGCCTCTCCGGGATTTGCTGTCTGGCTGCCCAGTAATGCCGCGGACAGCGACAGCGGTATGGTAAGGCCGCTGTCCTGTAATGCCGCAGCTGCATTCGCGGCCTGCTGTGCACGCGGGTCCACGCAGCACGTTACTGCGCACCCAGGTTGTTCTAGGAACGCAATCAGGCAAAATACGAAACAGCAGTGCAATCTACACTAGCAGGGAAAGA